GCTTTGATCCGTTAAACCGAGAGTTTTATTAGACATCCGCTATACCGAGGTCCGCTATACCGAGACTTACTGTGTATTGTGATTTTTTTTAATATATCAAAGAATTTGTTCATCTCTTTCTAACAAAAAATCAATATATCCATCATCACATTGTAAATATTTTGCTCTTGAAATTTCACATTTTTCTCCTCGATAGTTTTCTTACCCCTATATAAAAATAGTTAACATGAAACTCATTTACATTGGATCTACTATGGAACCAAAAAATACAGCACCATTAGAAGTACAGTCAAATCTTGATAAACCAAACTACCATAAACCGATTTTCACTTTATAACAATGCAAAATTGGCTAACTAAATCATACTTAATAAAAATTATTTCGTTAAGCTGAATTTTATTATAATTTCTACTTTACTTGATAACTGAACTTAATGGTTTGTACAAAATAATAAAAATATAACTTCCTAAGCTGAATATGATCATAAAAATTCGTCTTATGATGATAAATTTCAGTTTAAAAATGGTCAATCACCCAACAATCAAGTTTAGTCAAGTTTAGTCAAGATGATTATTACTAAATTAGGCTTTTAACCCTTTATGCTGCCAGCCCTGTTTGTATCATAAATTGAATTTTGATAAGCCGATCCTATTTTTGTGGTTCCCAAAAGTTTGGCTTATCAAGGTCTGACTGTATTTTGAAGAAAGAACAAGGTGAAAAAATTGCTCCTTACATTTTTAAATTAACAGATATCAAATCTTTGCAATCATATTTAGACAAAGAAAGGATTACATATGAAATTTACCAAGAAAAAAGAAAAAAAATAAATGTTAGAAAAAGAATGCAGAATGAAGATGTGCTATTATTCAACAAAAAGCAGAAATCCTTAGAAGTCTTATTATTACAATATTGATTTATTTTTTTTATTGACAAAGAAATTCTCCTTTATGCAAATGTAATTAATAATTATCAATTGCATTGTTTATCAATAAAAAAATATTTTTGAACAAATTTTACATTCAAGGATATGTTTATAAATCTTTGTTTTTCTCATTGAAATTGAAGCAAGGTAAATAATCCCACCTTGTATTGGAACATTATAAAAACATTACCAATTCACTTAATTTTCAGGTAAATAACAAATCCTTCTAATAATCACCATTAAACAATTTTATTTTGGTTTAAAAAACAAATAATCAATAGGTAAAACTCACAGTGGCTTTGGGTCCGAGTATTTTTCTCCCATGCAAGTGCTCTGACAATTTTCAACTTATATTTTTATGTATTTTTCTATTATTAGTTTGAATTAAAATAAAAATAATTGTCTTTTTGTTGTTTAATCATTGTCCATAAAATAAATTCCAAGTCATTATGCATGAGAAACAATTAATTGTAACAATTACAATCTAAAATCAATAAAAAAAAAATTTTTTTTTAAAAATTCATTTTTAAATTTAATTTCAAGAAGATGGCAACAATCAAACAAATTGAAAAAGAGCTTGAGAAAGCAAAAGAGGAGTTGAATAAGTGGAAGGAAGAGTGGGGAGAGAGGTTAGACCAGTTGTTGAGAGGAGGAAAGGAAAATCGTGAAGGGGAATTTGATTACTTGAAGGGAAAAGAAGAGAGGTTGGAGGAAAAGGTGGATGATTGGAGAAAGGCGTTGTTAACATTTGGTAAAGGAGAAGGTAATGAACAAATCACATAAAAAAAAATTATTTTTCATTAATTTCATTTCATTTATTTATTTGTTTGTTTGAGTGACATATTGTTTGAAATATTGATAATATGTACTTTTTTTATGTATTATCTTACACATAGGTAAACACTCTGCAATTGAGTTGGCATCAGAAAGGTCATCAAAATGAATCTATATTGATTATTCTGAACATCTTGTGAAAGCACTTAGTTTACCATTTGATCAAGTCCCTCCCTTTGAAAATTTAGAAAGTTTTCTTCAATAGACGCTTATTGAACCCATTCTTGTCAGAACTAATTATGTTCAAATACATTGTAATGTCATTAATATCAACAAAATGATAAAAGACGAAACAGAAAATATTGATTTGAATGGTAATTTTATCATGACTCCTTTGATTTCCTTGCTAGCTGAAAATGCCTTAGGATTAACTATCACTGAAGGAAGTGAGATGGATCAAGGTTCTGTTATTGACAAGCTTATCAAAGATCCATTAACAACTTTAAGTGAAAAAGATGACAATATAGAGATTTCTATGGCTCGAAATCTAACAGATAACTCAACAGCAACAACAAAGAAATCTTGTCCAGACTTTTCTGTTTGGTTGGAGAGAAAGATTTTGATTTTTAAGGGAGAAGAGAAAAGATATGTTGAAGATTTTGATGAAACTGTTAATGAACTTGAATCAAAAATGAAAATCTGGAATGTGCTGTTTTATGGTGATGTTCCATACATACTTGCATATGCTGCTGCAGGTTATCGGCTTGGATTTTTTGCCATCAACAACAAAAAAGAATTAATCAAAATTTCTAAACGGTTTAGGCTTACTGATCCTAAGGACAGATTGCAAATTCTTAAATGTGTAATTAATATTTATCGCATTATAGCAACTTTAAAAAAGTTTGTTCCAAAGTATTTCATTCGCCTGTATGAAAACATTTATCAACCTCAATGATAAAAGACGAAACAGAAAATATTGATTTGAATGGTAATTTTATCATGACTCCTTTGATTTCCTTGCTAGCTGAAAATGCCTTAGGATTAACTATCACTGAAGGAAGTGAGATGGATCAAGGTTCTGTTATTGACAAGCTTATCAAAGATCCATTAACAACTTTAAGTGAAAAAGATGACAATATAGAGATTTCTATGGCTCGAAATCTAACAGATAACTCAACAGCAACAACAAAGAAATCTTGTCCAGACTTTTCTGTTTGGTTGGAGAGAAAGATTTTGATTTTTAAGGGAGAAGAGAAAAGATATGTTGAAGATTTTGATGAAACTGTTAATGAACTTGAATCAAAAATGAAAATCTGGAATGTGCTGTTTTATGGTGATGTTCCATACATACTTGCATATGCTGCTGCAGGTTATCGGCTTGGATTTTTTGCCATCAACAACAAAAAAGAATTAATCAAAATTTCTAAACGGTTTAGGCTTACTGATCCTAAGGACAGATTGCAAATTCTTAAATGTGTAATTAATATTTATCGCATTATAGCAACTTTAAAAAAGTTTGTTCCAAAGTATTTCATTCGCCTGTATGAAAACATTTATCAACCTCATGAAACAGTTGTACAAATACATGATAGTTTTATTGTCAAAACAATTAACAATTATTCAACTTTCATTAATGGGGATTTTGATATCATGAAAGCATTATATAAAGATACAGCTGATATTGCAAACCTTATACATTCATGTGACAAGTGTGGGAAACCAGATCTTCCCACTTTATTTAGAAAGAAGTACAAGGTGACATTGGCACCATTGGGTTATCGATTCAATCCTACAGAAGAATCAGAACTTAAAACTGCTATTCAAACTGTTCTTGAAGTTATTAGAGATATGCATTCTATTGGATATGTACATCGTGACTTACGATGGCCAAATGTTCTTCAACAGGTAGATGGAAAATGGTTAGTTATTGATTTGGAACATGGAGGAAGGTTAGATGTAGCTCCAGGATTTGGTCCTTTGAGTAATTGGCCACCTCAAGCAACAGAAAATAATGAATATAGACAAGAATATGATGTATACCAAGTGGGAAAGATGATGGCAGATTGTATATTTATGAAATCAGATTTGTGTAAAGATTTGCAGAAAAGGCTTCTTGAAGCACCACAAATATCTTTAACAGCTGTTGAAGCTCTCAAAGATAAATGGTTTCTACACTAACAGATATTATACAATATCTATTTATTATTGTTTACAGATTCAACAAAGTGTTTTTGCATATCAAAATTATTGTTAATATATTGTTAATATTTTATATAATAGAATTTTAAAAGTCTGCTAATACTTAGTGAAAAGATCATTTAATATTAGTAAAAAAATAAAATGGATTTTCAATTTGTAATATTGTGAACCCCTTGCTTTTTTATTATTACATTGTGAAAAACATACTGTGGTGTCTCTTGTATGTTTCATGTATATTATTTTTTAATTGATGATTCATGAATAAATGAGAGAATTTTAAGTAGGATCAGCAGGGCAAAAATGTAAAAAATTTGCCAATTGACAATGTTCAACAAATAATAAAGCACAATATTTTTGTATTACATTTAAATATTTATTTAAACTTTGAATTTTTCTTTACTTCCAAAAAAAACAAGTTAACTATCTAACATATAAAAATAACAAAATATTGTAATAACATCATAATAAATAAAATCGAAATATTTAAACAAACCCTTTTGTCTTTTACACATTTTATTTCTTTAAATTAATTATTTTGCAAGTGGCTTCACTTCGTGAATAAATTAATTCTTTTTATTTTCTCTTGAAAATATCCATCACCTTAAACTTCCTAAGGGGTGCCTTAGTGAAGATAACTAATTAAACAGATCCAAAACTTATATATTGCTAGCATTTTATTATTTGGATTTTTACCCAAAACTTTATGTAAATCATAGATTAAAAAAAAGTAATTATTTGTTTAGTTATCCTACCAGTTTTCTTTTTTTTCTTGATTCTTTACTAGAATTCTCTAATACTCTTTTGAAAACTCTTTCTTCTTGGTAAATTTCATACATAATCCTTTCTTTGTCTAAATATGTTTGCAAAGATTTGATATCTGCTAATTTAAAAATGTAAGGAGTGATTTTTTCACCTTGTTCTTTCTTCAAAATACTTCTAATGGTGGTGCTGTAATTTTTTGGTTCCATAGTAGATCTAATGCAAATGAGTTTCATATTAACTATTTTTATATAGGGGTAGTTCTATATATCACTTAAAAAAAAAAACAAGACAAATGGGACATTATAAAATCATATTGATGATAACTAAATTTTGATCCCTGAAATCTTTGGTAATACAAATATTCACTTTGTCTGGTTTTGTTTCAGCATGCCCCATATAAGGTTGATAGTACTTCAAATCAGTCTGTATTAAGAACAATGGGAGAAATTCTCAACAATATATCTCAATGGTATTAAAAGGACAACCTTCACAAAAGAATTAAAAAGTCCAAGATTTCAATACCAAGAAGATCTTGGGGGTCTTTGTTCAATCTGTTTCAATTATGGTTATGATGTTTTTGAAAATCTAATTGTTTTAGTTTCAGCAAGTAATATATATAGTGAACAAAAGGTTGGTTATGTGTGTATATGTGTATATATTATTATCTGTACAAAAAATATTTATAACAAATAATTTTTTTTTTGTTATATATAGTCAAATTCTATCAACAGGATTGAACATCTACAAAGGCATATGAAAAGAAATTATGAAAATGAAATCAAATTGAAAATGATGGACAATCTCACCATGATCCCTGTATATCACATTGTCTTGCATATGCTTTTTGGTATCTGTACAGATTCGCATGAAATAATTTGTTCTGATTGTGATGAATTTTGGGTTTTATTCAAGGATTTATACTTGGTGGAACTCAAAAAATATATTGAAGGATGCTCAAGATAAGCTAATTTATTATCTAGTCATCAAACTCAAAAGGTTTATCTAAATTTTCAATTTATTTTTAACCTTAGAGAAGTTGATTATGATGGTACAGTCTTGTTGGTAGATTACAAAATGAGAATTCTTCCAAAATCAACCCATGAGACCAAAGAAGAATTTTTTGGAAAAAAGATTGGTCATTTGCACAGTATTTTATTATATACTAAAAATCAAGCAGATACATTGAAGATCAATGCATATGATCATTGGTCTAATGACACAAAACAAGATGCTTGGTTCACAGCATCTTCACTTTATGCAGTTATTACATCATTGGAAAAAAAACTTAAATGTATTTCTATCATCTCAGATAATGAAGGACATTATCACAACTCAGAGTTGATGGTTATTTTAGGTTACTGGCATAAGTGATATGAGATAGAAGTTAGAAAGTGGACATTTTTGGAGCCAGGTGAAGCCAAAACCGCAATAGATTCTCATCATGCCCAAGTATATTTGTTTATTATCCATTGATTGAAATATTAATTCTTGGTATGCACAAACTGCACAAAGGCTGCCTGAAATATGGATTTTATGCCAATTTCAACACAATAATTTATTTTATATATAAGATTGCACATGCAATCAGAAGATTTGTAAGTTTAGGAAATGATTAAAAACAGATAGTGATATAGAATCAGCTGTTAAAAAACTTTGTGGAACTTCAATTGCCCATTTAGAGCCAAAGAGAGTGAAAATTTTAGCTGGTGTTTCAGATTTATACTTTTGGCAATGGCCAATTAATGGAGAGTATAGTGGCTTTATATGTGGTCACGCATAAAGAACTTATTGAAATTCCTAAGGTAGAAACTATATGTAATTGGATTTCTAGATACTCTGCAGAAATAAAATGTCAACAAATAATTTATCACATAATTATTCATGATAAAAATCCAATTAATGTCACCTTACTAATAGTTTAATATTAACAACTTGCTTTTGCTACGATCTAATTTCCTGCCCACTACAAGAAATCGATTTATTTGAACTATGTTATTATTATACAATCTTTAATAAAATTATAAATAATAGAAAGCAAAAGTTTATTTAAGAAAATTATTTTAACTCTCCTGTACAAGACTTAATGATGACAGGAGAAATTACATGGTCAAGTTTAAAAATGGTTTAATATTAACACCTTGTTTTGTTGGGATCTAATTAGAAATCAACTTACTATTATTTCTGCAGTGATCTAGTTTCCCGCCCACTACAAGAAATCAACCTATTATTATTTGAACTACATTATTATTAATATAATTCCAATTTATTACAAATAATAGAAAACAAGAAAATTATTTTCTCTTCTGTGAATTTATTTCCCAAGACTTAGTGATGGCAAGAGAAATTACATGGTCAAGTTTTGAATAGTTTGTTGTTGTCTGTGATTTAATTTCCCGCCCACTACAAGAAATCAACTTATTATTATTATTTGAACTACGTTATTTATTAATACAATCTTTAATAAAATTATGAATAATGGAAAACAAATTTTATTCTGCAAATTATTTCCCAAGATTTAATGATGTTGTGCGTTAATTTGGAATCTGCGTCGATTTGAAATTCACGCGCGTGAAATTCAAATTACCAATCAGAATTTTGTATTCAATATTAATATAAATTTCAAATTGACGTAAATTTGATTTTCACGCACAACATTACACATTTTTTCCCCGGATCGACATCGACTTCTTTCACGTATATCACGAATAATTGTATTGAGATGATTACAAGGTTGGCCATGGCACCGGTCCATTGGCGGTCCATTGTATCCATTGGTGAACCATATTTAGTATATTATTAACGGCAATGGACCAGACCAAAACTTGGTCACAATGAGGCTTGGTCTATTGCCAACCCTGGATTACGATAATTATGATGGATGATTGTGATGATTGTGATGATCGTGATGATTGTGATGATCGTGATGATTGTGGTGATTGTGATGATTGTGATGATTGTGATTATGATGAATTATGATTATGATCACGATTTACGATTACGATTACGATTATGATACTATGTTGATATGATTATTTAAAAAAATATACAAATATTTATATCTAGGTCAAAAAAAAAAAATCATTCAATATTTATTTACAACATTTCGATAATTTGTGAGAGTGAATTAATAAATCATAGATATGTGTGTATTTGTGAATGAGTGTAGGTGGTGATGGTGATAATGTTTAACGTTTTACACGTTGTATTTACTTGTTTGTTTGTTTGTTTGTTTGTTTGTCATTTTAAATTACGGTAAAACATATTACAATACATATTGATATTTTTATACGTGTACTACATGTCAAATTTAACTAAATAAATAAATATCTTCTAATAAATCCTTTCAAATAATAAATTTAAGATCGTGGAAAAAATGAAAAATAAACAAATAAACCAACGTGGTTTTGACAGCAGGACGATCAGTAATAATTAATATATAACTAATGATTTTTATTTTGATTATGTAAATAATAATGCGTGACCTGACTCAGGGTTTACTCAGCTATGAAAAAAACGTAATCAAAAATTTGTATCACATTTATTATTCATCATATATTTTTTTTTCTATAATGTCATATTAAACGCGTTATCTCGATAACTTATTCCTTCCTTCCGTTCATTTGATTATTATTATTATT